CACAGGAGCACGTAAATTGATAGGCACACAGAAATGGTTGACAGTGGCAGTCGATCCTTAAGTCTCTCAGCAATTGCCGGAGAATTACCAAGTGAATTACAGCAACTACAAAGCATTTTCCGACAGAACGGGATACCCAGAGTACATGGAAGGGGCAAAAGAGCCAATTCTACACCGTCCATAGCATGTAAGATACAGGGTTCAGGGTCTGGTCTTGTTACTACTGCTTCCTACTGTCGATGAGTTACAAAAATTGAAACCATCTAGTCAGGAAGGAAATCTCTTTTCTGTTCACCAACACCATCATTTCTACGAAAATCAACTAATTAGTCTTGCTAACAGTAGCCTGGTTGAGACATGAATAAACATAAAGCAACGAAGAGGCAATCCTTGAAAGATATGTACGTCCTTGTTTAAAAGCAAATCTGACACCGCGTGTGGTATATTCTACAATTTTAAAATCATTGCAGTCGGTTTAGCGAAAGTCAACTTTCAATAAACAAAACAATTTTTGTTTTTATCATATAAAGCCGCTTTTGACTTTTTTAAAATAACTTCGCAGCATAATACTAACCTCAGCAAGAAAGCTCTCCATCACACTTTTGAATCAATCAGCTTTTTTAACTTAGGAATGCATCACTACTATTGCTGACTTCTGATTCAACGACAGTTAAAATAAATGTTAATTGATCACATCATGTCTTCTAGTTATCATTACACAAAGATGCAGAATATGCTACCAGAATGCTCTAAAGAATAACTCAGAGCTCGTACGCTGGAGACTTACTTATGTGATTTTCTGTATCATATGAGTATATATGAGAAGAACGCTTTTGATTCGGTTAATCCCCTTGGAAAAAATCAACTCTTTGAGTACTATCCGTCCCACTGTCTAACATACGGGTCAAACGGACGTTCGATATTGTTCCCCAACTGCGGGTTTTCACTCACAGCTTTCGCTTGTCATATCCCTTGGGGATTAAAGCCGGAACGATCGGGCGTTGGATGTTTATCTCACAGCTGTTTGAACGGCACAAACACGTGATTGCTCGCGAAAAAGACCTGTTTCTTTTATGCTAACTGATCAACGCCTGCTCATCTTTGGTGCGGCAGTGTCCTTGGGGGGAATATGCTTCGATGCTTATTGCCCATCAACCAAATGTAGTTTCGATGAAATATGTCGAATAATGCATCTTAAGAATTGGATGAGTTCGCTTGGGTCAAATCACTTCTGACTACACAAAATTGACTAACTGGTAGCACATTATTTCACAAACTGGCCTTTCATTCAGGTCCTTTATCCTCTCTTTGAAATTATAAGGGTCGTGACGGATACTGGGTTCAGTTGTTGTTGTTGTTATCATGCATTCAGTGACTTCCGTCGCATCAGGAATAAACTCAAACTTTAATAAGGGACTAATTTTTGGTTTGGCAATACACTGTCAGCGTCCCAGAGGAGGAAATCCCTAGATAAACTCAGCTATTTGACCCCAGACCAGCAACATTTTCGTGGGATTATACTTAATTAGAATCAAATTGGTTACTAATTCATTTAGAATCTACACAAAAGAGACCGGAGAACAATTGACTTAGTGGGGATTTAATGCTATTGCGTCAGTTTCGGAATTTTATCATCACAAGTAAGCAAGCCACTACTCATGGAGGCCTTAAAGTAACAAGCGTTATTCCGGTGTAAATTTGGTTGTGTGTGACAAAATATAAAAATGAGTCACATTTATCTAAACTAACCGTATGCACGGATCTAGCGTGATATTAACTTACGACCTTTCGGTGAACCAAATGGATTAGAAAACCATGTAGAGCTGCATTCGGAGTTTTTGAAGGCTGCTCACGACCTTGCTGTTGAGGATGTTCAAAATAGACGCATATACCTGAGCAATAGGTAAATAATTACATATTCAGGGGAAAACGCTTAGATCGCGGCAGAGAGACGTTTCTCAATACAAAGTGATGATTTACCCTGTTTAAAAGTACGTGAGTTCATACAGTTGCTTCACTGGCATTCATCATGTTCTCCTTAAATTTAATAATGGTAACAACACCGCCAAAACAAGTAATTGGTAAATTTCCAGTGGCATTGCCATCCTTATGCATGAACTAATTATTCCTTGATAATGAGATTTGGATTCATATTGGGTGAGGTTCCGTTGTTCTGGAAGCATTTGTTTCCTGCATCAATATAATCGTTTTACCCGTCGAGATGCACTGTCTTCACTCCATGCAGCATTCTCTTTGATACCCTATGTTGGGAATCGGTGCGTTATGAACGTCATTCCCGATAGTTTGGCAGTGTGTTCACAGTAATACTCAAATGGATTCAGAGTCGAAATCATTGTGTAGTTTGTTTGAGCCATGGGGGTTACCGCCGAAACGCGACAGGGTCGTCTCCAGTCTCAATACAGTTCATCAACTGAAAACTGAACGAAATTGAGTCAATTCAATAGGTTAGTGCATGGACGAAGTCTCGTATAAACTGAAGTTCTATCAGAGTTCGGCCATCAATACCAATACTTTTTGGAATTGTGATCTATCTGCACAACTCACATTGTTTCCAGGTCTTCAATATCCGCGACCGAGGAACTATTACATTAAACGCAACTATTGTGATAACACTGATCCATTATTTAACCCAGCAAATAAGCGAAATGTTACAGACCAATGCTCAGCGGCCTCACTGTTGATGCGCTTGTTTCCGCACACTTCCTCTGAATGTCGTTCTTTCATTGTTACTTCAAAGAAGTAACTCATATTTTTAAAAGTCAATTAAACTATACCGACTCCCGCTGTTGGATTGAAGCCAATTACTTGTTGATTGCAGTTGCATCAATTATGATCATGTTGCACAAACGCCTTCCTTTTATTTAACCATTTCAACCGACTAGATCCTTAAGGTAAATTAAAATTCAGATTCAGGTTCTGCTGGACAATGTAGATGTTTACGTTGATGAACATCCGTTTGCATTTCGCGCTGAGTTCCATTGGGACAGAGCACCCATACGATGCCATGTGAATCTAAATATGATTTTGCGGACTCGTCTAGTTTTTAGTGCACACTGTTAGCTAACAAGATTCTTCCCTTTCTTCTATTTGAGTAACCTGCACAGAGGTGTGCACGAAACTCATCTACTAAGAACACTACTCAGACAAAATGATTCGGATTGGGATTTTCAAGCAAATTTGATTTATTATTTGTCGCCCATAAGTTGCAGCTTCTTATGACTCATCTGACAAATGACTGCCCAGATGTGCAATGAATCTCCGATGTGCTTCATAGGTGCTATCATAACGTTATGCTTCGCTAACGAAAACGCTTGTTCCTCGGCTCAAATGATCGACTCTCATGGTTTGTCTTTCATACATACCTTCTCACTTGTCGGTTAAGAGAGAGCTTGGGTGAATTTCGGCTTAGAGAGAAATGGAAATTTACTTTCTGAATCAAAATAAATATTCGGCAAATGCGTCAGTGATAAAGCTAATGGAGGCTGAACAGTGTGATTGGATAGTTTTAACTGGACCATTGGATTTGAAAGCTCTAACCAGTAGTCTGAGCGTCATAAGAACAGATTCGCGTGACATCCAATATCCTCAGTTTCTTCAAATGCAATGTGCATTTTTTAAAGTTTTTAATTCATTTTCTCAATGATCTTGTTGAAAGATAGAGAAACTTGACAATCCCCTGGCGTGAATTCTCACCTTCCGATACTTGGCTGCGCCTCAGGCAATTTTGAGTTTCTGAGCAGCGCGTTAACTCAGAAGGAAAGAAACATGTGAGCTGTGGAACTAAAATGTACGCACAGGTCTGACCATCCAAACGGGTTACATAAAACCTCCTGTTGCAGCCATAAACCGTTTCATGCAAAGTGCAACTAAGATTTGCTTAACCATAGCACAAGCAACAGGTATGAAATCTTAAGATTATAGTCTATTTAGGCATAAGTGCAGGCGTTTTCCGCTTACAATGAACGTTAATGTTTCTGCAAAACAGGTGCTATCGAAAGGTGAAGGGGAAAATGGGAACGTTCGATAAATCTTCAAAATACTTTTCGATATATTTATTTGCCAAATGCAAACTAACTTATGCAAAACATCAAATCTGATTCCTAAAAATTGTAAAATCCTTCACATTAGATATTTGGGTGACTTTTAATGCCATTCAATCATCCTGGCTTGAAGTGAAGTGCGTAGGCGATAATTGTTATTCCAAGACTCGTGGTTTGCGTTCCGATAAATTACCAGTGCTGATAGTTTTACAAATTCCATCAAAGCACAACATAATGGATTGGGCAATTTTCTAATATATTCTGCTCGCAAAACGTTTCTGTGATTTCAATTGACTGGCCATAGCAGAAAGAAGCAACGGGTTGTGAACCCAGCCAGTTCAGTAACGTTAATTGGTATCCGCGTAAAGTATTTCGCTTTTGCATGTTGCAGCATAGCACAAAATTAACGGTGTACAAGTTTGTATCGAGTTTTCGAAAACAGAACGGGTTTGAGAGAACGTGTAAAGGATCGTTGATTGAAACTACAATTTCATACAAACGTGCTCGGTTAGCTTTTCGAGTTCAGGTATTGGCGGAAATGAGGCAGATTGCCTTAAAGACCAGTATTTCCAGCAGTAATTTTAACAAATGTTCTTCCTTTAACTTTGCTCCATTTCTCTTTCGTTCATGAAAATTCAGCACAATTCTACATTTATATGCGACATAAATCTCTGTGCAGACTGACAAGGTGTAAAGAATAATTGTTTCGTTATGTTTAGACAAGTCAGTAATTAATGTTCTCCTTCACTCTAATCAGTATGCCTAACTGAGGTGCTACACGCGTTCACCGGAAAATAGTAAATAAATTGTCTGCTTTTTTCAACTGAGTTGTATAGAGGAACAGTGTTTAGGATTCTAACCAAATTATAATGTGACATTTCGGCTAGACATCTGCAGTAACCACCTAGTAACCCTAGAGATGTTTACAAACACACTCACCGTCAAACCGTAGGTCTTCCAGTACCTTCGACTCGTCTATAACGCCTGCAGATGTCATCAGTGGTTGTGGCTCTCCGGACTTTTCAGGTTCCATGTGGTTCAAACTGGAGCAGGGCAAGTCAATACGAAACAAGCGGATAAAGATCTGGTTATATCTTTTTTACTTGACAAATAAATGAAAATATTACTATTTGAGATGTCTCCTTCGCTTGACGTTCATTGAAGAATTAAGCAAGAGGAAACGAAAAATTGAAAGTGTGAGTATGAGTCTTCTTATATTGATTACGAATAAATGTTTGGAAAGGGTGAATAAAGCAATATAGATAAAACCCAAAGACCATTCCACATGATCATTTGCGCGCCGCTACAACATAGTCTACTTACTCCCAAGAAGTCCCTTCTGGTCTAAATAATCATCTCCTTGTACCATAAGTGGGTGCGTGTGTTCAGAACGAGTCATTCAAAGCTTTCCGTCTTTAATGGAGGGCGGTAAACCATAGAGTGACATATCACTGGTCAAAATTCTTAGATAACGGTAATTATATTGTTGTTTGTGATGACATGTATGATCCTCGGCAAACGATTGAACCGCATTTGCACACCTTGCAGTTTGATACGTATACCACACACGCGTAAAAATATCTAAATTGTTCTCCTGTAAGTGTCATCTATAATACAATGTAACCAATTAAACTGAACCACTTACAACAGATTAAAATTTATCCACCATGTTTGCTTATATATTTTGTGATGATTAGACAATCAATTACATCTACTGTTGATGAGTGAACAACGTTTGAAAATACCACATCCTATATAGTGCTAAACGTGTTTGAATGTAGTTTAAACCCACTTTTATCAACTCAAATCTTATGATCATTTTCCCAAACCAAACACGGAAATGATGTGTGCGTTACGGATAAAAATATCTTAATCTTAGTTCGCAATCTAAACACGCGCAAACATATCTGATGGTGATGAGCGATGCACACGAAGTTGGAACAACTCGCTTCGATATTATTACTTGGATGAATCCTGTCTCCCCTTGTAATTCGGTTCGTTCGCTCCGTCGTTACTAAACAACCAGAAAACGTTTGTGCGATTTTATTACTCTTGCTGTAATACGACTGTTTATTGAAATTTTGCATGCCTTAGCCTGCTTAACATCAAAGTCACTGATGCGACAACCTATGGAATCACCCGAGCTATAGACAGTGGGAACCCATTTCGTCAACACACCACCCAGTTTTTCTTCTACCGACTCCCACTTTGGATTTCAAAATGGCGCCTTTGAGAAACTAAGCAACATAGAGCTTGTTTTTATGAATTAATGATATGCATTTGTGTCATTCATCAAACCAACTCATGGCAGATTTTGAGCTGGGTTCAGAACACATCTTTCTTGTTTTGAAGATATATCACGTGATGAGCTATTTAATCTGTGCCAGCATATTGAATTCGAGGGAAAGAATGTTATCTGATCTGAGATCATTCATAAAAGTATCAGGAGGACAGCTTAATGAAGAGATCAGGACTTTGTCATTTGCATATAGAGATTAAAATTTTGAATTCATTAAATCCCGAAATCTAGTCTACCTACTCCTATGCACAGATTTGTAAGATGCGTAGTTTGTTTTCCGAAAGTCTCATTTTCCAAAGAATGGGATCACTGTTTTATTGCAACGCGAATTTGTCTACCTATATTCTGTGATTACATATAGTCGATTGATTTATAGGAGTATGATCAAAATACACTACGCAGTATATACTGTTTACTCATATTCATTAATTTAAGCATTCACAGTATTTAGAAGCACTGTGTCGAGTAAAAGAAAGACAAATTTGTTTCCGAAACTGAATTGCGTATATTATGAAGTTTCATTTATATAGGTGAGAGCCCTAAACATTATGTTCTGGAAGTAAAGGTTAGTAGGATAAAAGTATTCCCGCCGGACAACATAATGAAATGCAATTTGTTACACAGGACAAATGATCTTAAAAGTTTTAAACTAGCAAAGGCAACGTACTTTGATTGTATTGGCATGACTATGAATCACTGATAACAAGGTAGTCCACCACTCTGTGCTCTGCTTGAAATGTATTCTGTGGGACTGGTTAGACAACGTAGTCTCATACAAATGCTTCAGGAATGTTTTTAACGAAACTCTTTCGCAACACACAGGCACGGATTCGCCACTTGAACATTTTGGATGTATATGTATATGGACCTTTGTCCGGTTTACTGGTTCTGGAAACAAAGGCAACTTAACTAATGGCAACAGACAAGACATTGGTTTGCAGTATCGATCTAGTTCTCTTCAAAGACAAAAACATTTACACTACTTGCCAAATTATACAAATGAGTGAACGTATGAAATATCTAGGTCGCGAATTCATTTCAAATAACAATATCAGGTCTGGAATCATTCTCTTCCAAAATCGCATCCTTATGGTGAGATTGTGTCCGCATACCAAATGCGATGATTATTTCCTTCTGCATCTCGAATAAAACAATGGGACGGTAAAAATTAACTACCTCTTGTGAAATGCATAGAAAATTTTGTTCAGTTTCAGTGTTCAGTTTCAATGAACGGCACTCCTGATGAACAGTTATGACTTTTGTTCCTCAAAATAAGCTTACTCTATTGAGTAGATAGGCGTTCTGCTTTCTGACTCTAACGGAGCATGATGGTATACTACTTTTCACCATGTACCTTGCTTGTTATCATACTCAAGAGAAAACGTTTTACATTGATTCTCGGCTTATCTGCTCAAATTGCTGAGGCATCTAACACGAAGCATACTGCTGCAGTTATTCATTTGTCCTCTCACTTATTTTTCGAGCATATACTACCTGATTGGAAGTTATTTAAACTCAGTTCAACTAGTTAAAATTTTACGATTCCGTCGTTTTAACCATTGTTCTTTCTTAGCCCATGGGGTTCCATCAATAAGCGCATTTAGTTAAACAACCATTTATGCCCGGGTTGGAATCGGAGTAGCAAACTTTTAGGTCAAAGGTTTGAATGACTGTTTTTTAGTTGCAGGAAGTGTACAAAGGGGGGTATTTATGTGATTCATAAGTAATTGATAACTGAATAAAGACTTTCTATTATAAATTTACATTTAACCCTCGCTCCTTCTCATAATGTGTTCTCCGTCCTACTACCCTTCCTCTACCCTGAACCACTTAAGTGTGTTGTATTTTACCAGTCAACGAAGTATCGAACTTGACCTTGTTAGGCACACGGCTTTTGAATAGACGATTGTAAATGGTCTGACGACATGCCAGTGTATCTTCGGTCACTGGTGGCAGTTTCCTTTTCAAAGTTTGTAACTTGTGGTTACCTCACAGTACCAAGTGCACGCAGCGGAGAGCGGTTTGTCGAGTTTACAGTGTATTTCAGAGGGATGAGATTGGTTGAACTGCGGTCGCATCTATCTTGAATAAAAAGGGATCTTTGTTGACAATCTACCCAATAACGTGTGTATGCACTATGTCTTGATGAACCGTTTCCAAGATTTTAACTTGGATACCACATATTTTATCCGCTTGATATATGATTCACCGTTAGTGAGCTTCGCAGATGTTTCTTTTAGCAAAAATGGCGATGAACGCAAGTTAATTTTTTGTCACGGTAACGTGATGAATTTATCGAATTGGAGGAAAAACCGAAGGCTGTCATGTACAGCATCTTTCACACGATGTGCCATGCGGTGCTTATCTGTCTATTGCACCAACTGTTCGAATACATATATTTCCTATTCCTATGATTAGATACAATACAGTGAAATTTATTTAACTATATTCGCACTTTTCTTTGACTGAAAATAATAAGCTGAATTTATTTGAATAGAAATAATATTTGCCTCCACAAATGGTTACAAAATAGCAAAAAAAAACATCCATAGGATATCTGCTCGTGAATGACTAGTCACCCTCACCCCCACCCCTTCGCTCCCACTCATCATGAACCCACCTTGAGCCGCGTCTCAAAAAGGTTCTCTTTCGTAGCTTCAGAAACACAAACAGTGCAACGAGGAGGATTAGTGCAAATGCCAGAAGAAGCGATAGCCAGATTATTTTAGCTGACCCGCGATCTGTTTGAGTGTCCGACGCACTGTCCGATGCATCAGCCGAATAGAATGCGGGGTCTGTTTCTGTCACTTTGCTCGGCCATTTGATTCCACCTGTAAACGAGATAACCAAAACCAGTCATAAGGGATGAGAAAAACAGTGAAACGAGGGGGAGAGAAACGCACGCATATGAAAAATAAAACACACCACCTACCTTCATCATTCACAGATGGCGGGTAATGAAATGTCGTTTTCGTGAACGTCCCCCAACCCCGTGGTGTTCTGGGTCGAACCTGAAATCAGAACAAATAAGGTTGAACCTTTATTCTCACACTTCATACGGAGCTATTGTCCCCATGTTGCGAACAATTTGTTCTGTGCGAGCAACAGTACTCAGTTCTGGTTAGTTTTTGTTCACCGTGGGAAAACCTGTTGTGGATAGGTTGACAGATTGAATGCCTCGCAGAATAATAAGTAATGCCATGTAAGTATTCATTGGAGCATACAAACATACAAAGTAATGTGTTCTGCAACAATCTGTTGACTGAAAAACGCGGGCATAATAATCAAAAATGTATTTTACGATAATTCATTCATCCATATTTTGCAAACTTTCAAGAAAATGCCCATTGATGACTGCAGAAGTTTTGTGGCGTTTTCAAATCTAGAGAAGCAGTTTGTCAATGGCTGATTAAAGGGAAGCATACACATATCTACAACAATACAAAATGTCAGTTAGAAGCAATTTTCAGTTTAGTCCAACGGAACCCATAAAGTATAATGAAACAGATGCAAATTATGTTCAATTCAATGCCATAGGGTAAAGTCATAGAGCGTACTGCAATAGAAGGGGCCAGCACCACTTGGGTCGAAAGAATAAGGATAGAGAAACTTGGTAGACAGTTTCCAGAGGCGTTTTGCAACTGGAATATTCAGAGTAGTGTGTTTACAAACCAACCTTTCGAGAAACCACAGCAGATCCAATAGTTGTCCATCGACAGACTGGAAACCCACGACCACACCCGTTCGACCGTTCGACGTAAAGTGTGTATGAGTACAGGAAATAATATATTTTTTATATTTTTTTTATTTCCTAATGTTTCATTGTACGGCTCATAGGCAGACAAATACATATAGCTAATCAAGAACTGACTTGGGTAACGTGGAAGAAGGTTAAACAGAGGCTTATGCAGGTAATCGAACACACGAATTTCCGAAAGATGTTTTAATTAACTCAACTGATAAGTTTCCTTATGACCCATCTTTATATTTCCCGGCATTTTATCTATTAAGAATAAATAATTGTTTTATGTCCTGAAATATCACTAATACCACATTCCTACTGACTGTTCAGTACACATGGATTCATGCATCATTCGGTTCCAGTGTGTGCTTATTTCATATATGACCACTGTAGTAGCTGTATAAGACAACTGTGTAAAACACAAACTGCTGACTGTTCGCCTTATTCAGTGAATATGGCAAGATAACGAACGGCAAAAGACGTTAGACCAGCGAACTTTGAGATAATGAGATCATTAAAGTCATTGTTACAGCAACAAGTTTCCCATCTTGAGGCACATGGTAATACATTTTCAAGGGATAGGTTTGCACAAGCGATTGCAAAATTGATGCGAGTTTGCGTGGTTGTACTTGCTGCTTTATATAACTAAATACAAATTGTAGAGCTCACGTAAAGCTGATGATGATACACTGTTTTCAACCCTTCACATATATACGTACATACACTATTTGTGCATTTGAATACCAGTTGCGAGGTTACCTTATTGTTGCACATAATCATTTATTCTTCGCTCATATTTATTATGCAAACTAGCGAATAGTTAGGCATACAGTCATTGCATAGATGGGAAAGTAACCCCGAAGTATAAGACTCAATGCACACGTTTCAAAACCAAGTGCAGCAAGACACCGTTTACGATCAGTTTCAACTTTTACAATGAGTGTTTAACAGAATACACGATACTGATTGGTTTCAGTGGAAACCTTTGTGATGACCGACAAAGAGCGCAATGGACAGCTATTTATTCCTATTTGAGACTCAACAGTAGTGAGTACATTTGTTGTCCCTGTCAGAACCGGAGGAGCGAACCTCCGGTTCGGAACTTCAAAACCTTACCCCTAAGCTACACGGCCGATGGTCATTACATTGAGCGAATAGCTCTATTAATTCAGACACGAATTGTTTGGATTAGTCTACTCGATTTTTCGCAGGGCCCAGGCAATGTAGCTCAGTGGTAATGGTTTGAAGTCCTGACCCGAAGTTTCGTGGTTTCAGTCGCGACAGAGACACAAAACGTGTGCACTGCTGACGGGTCCTAAACAGGCAGAAACAGCTGTTCAGTGCTTTTTGTCAGTCCTCCCAAAGATTCCCATCGCATTTGAATGCACTCACCTCGTTGTAAAATACAGATCTCCCAAGAAGTGAAACCCACATCCATGATCATCAACAGTGCCTGGTTCCTGTGAATAACTTAATGGACTTATCGAAACATCCCCGTCTAGATATCAAGTGGTGTTTTTTGGAATATGCTTTTTGTAAATTCATCCAAATTTCGTGTGATCGTAAATTTGTTGAATCGAGGAGATGGTGTTGAATGTTTGAACAGACGAACTTTATTCCTCGTTGTATGATAAATGGCCTTGTTGCTGATAAGCTACGTAATGTATCAAGGCAAATGATTTTGTAAATAAATCTTATTTACGTTCATTTTCAGATTAAATCAGTAATTATATCGCATACGTCACCAGCAGGTAAACTTATAATTCGTGTATTTAATCACGTCGATGAGAACTGACTTTCCCACCGATCTCCTCAACGGATATCATTTATTGTTTGGGTAATAACGGGAAATGAAATAGTCTTTTATAGTTCGTGCATATCTGTACATTGATTAACAAAACCATGCATTCTAACTGGACTTTTCATGCATCGGGCAAGCATCAATTACAAAGGCTAGCCAAACTGGGGATTCAGCAGATATTCGTTGCGTTCAATGAGTGCACTTATAAAGGAATCACGTGATAAGTTGATCATGTGATCAGGACAACTCTGTCTAAATAACGGGGCCATAGACTTTTATCTAGCCAAACAATTTTGTTTCTCTAACAGCAGTCCAAAGTTCAGTTAATTGACAGATGACAGCCAGATTTGACTCGGCCATCTAAACTTTAGTAGATTATTCTTGATCGCGTAATGAGAGAGTGAAATAGTGGGCAGAAAAATTACCACAATGAATACATTATCGAAACTGCATACCGGAAACGGAAACGCATACGTTATACACCAACCGCATCTATCCTATTGGATATCAAAAGTTATTTATTTGGGAGCCCGCAGATGAATGAATCATGTCATTTCATGGATTTTTCAAGTTTGGGCATGCCTTACACTTACAAAATAGGAAATTCCAGGAACGTTTTGTCACAGTACAGCATTGTGAGCCACAATGGTTACACCAGTGGAAGCTTGCACATTGTTAGTGCAAAATACTCCAATCTTAACCTGTTCCCAACGAATTTCGGTAGTCTTTTATAAGATCTTGTTCAAACCGCCCCATAAACTCACAGACTAGATGTGCAAAAGTTTGGATTTTACCTCGAACATACGCTTCTTGTTGTGTGACCTTCAAATCAAAACGTTTAGTTAATCTCATAGAAACCTAAGACGCAATAACTGATAATTACGTTAATTATTCTATGCGGAATCGCAAACATCCTGTTTCTTTTTTGATTAGGTTGTACTGTTTGAGTACGTGATACGTCCGCACAAAAAGAATGCAATGAGAATATTTTGTTTTATGCACCAAAACAATTCTGCCTATATCTTCCACCTTTGTTTAGATGTGTCAGCAACACCTGCTTGTTACTACTCTAACAGGTATCAAATAACACGTTTCTGCGGATATGGGTCGAAACAATTTAGAGAATATATTTTTTCAAAGAATTTGTGCTGAAATTACTTAAATTAAACAACTTCTTTCTCGATCAGTGCAAATCCTGTTGCAATAGTGATTGTTTCCATTGGTCACAACCTAGAGTTATTTATCTCAACACATTTTTTCGCTATAGTAATAATATAGTTATTACATAGGCATATACTATGGATATATGACAAATTATACATCACAGTGGTTGATAGAGGAATCCTTATTTAGAACCTCTTTCATTATAAAATACAATTTGATATTCACGTCAATAAACGTAATCCCTTGAGATACAATATTTATATGCATGTATCTAGGCATGACATCTTGCTTTCAGAAAACTCACCCACACTTTAATTGTAGCTTGGTTGGGCAAATCGGCGAAATGAAGCACAGTATCCGAAAGAAAATGTACAAGGACCGGCCTTATAGGACCACCTGTTACCTCAGACATGATTGGATGATTTGCGCGTTGCATCCAAACGTACACTTGATACTCAGGCATACCGACCCATGTCTCTGTTTCTGCCAAAGAGAGATCATTCTGTGCCGGAGGCTTCCACGTCACACGAATCATTGTTTGCCCTTCTGACTGGTTTCGCGTTTGCGTTCTCTCGTCCCGTGGGTGTTGCAAATCGAGCGAGGCAAAACTCGTGTTAAACTGTGTGCGTTCGATGGTTTCCATTTGCAGCGCGTCCACAGTCACGGGAACTGGGTACAATTTCAGAAGTGGATGCCAATAATGAGTGTATTACATAAAATGTTATGGAATTTGCTATGCGATAATCTATTGAACCTTAAATTAAACAGGTCACTGGCTTGTCTGAATTTGTATTTGTCCAAAATGTGCACATAATCAATGGCGATATTAAGTTATCACTCTGTGATTAACCTCGGATGAACAGGTGATCTAGCTCAAGGCTTTCGTATTCCACCAACATTGTTATTTTAAATTGCAGTCAACAGTTCACCTGCTCCTCGTTATTCGAACTGATTGCACATTTCTTCAATGGAAAATCGATTAGCCATCTTCGGAAGAATCATCTGAAATCAGAGTTGTAAAGTTCATTCGAAGATCCATTGTGCAAAACATCATAAATAAAGGACACTGACTGATTGTGTTTGTCCAGGTCGAGGTCTTTTAAGGTCACCAACAATGTTCAGGCAATTTAGACAGCAGCCGCTGCCGCTGCCCGTCTATGAACTTTCATGAGCGAGAAATCGGGCAATTCACAATCTCAAACCCTTCCAACTAGTGGATTTTCATTCCCCAAACCACACAATTCTCTTGCATGTGATATTTTTCTCTTGTTTATTTGATAAGCAACAACATGAATGGTCACAGTGACAAAGAAATATATATACATATACTTTCACGTTTGTTTTTAATTTTTCTGATCTATGATTATGATTCATTTTCAAACTGTATGGGCGTATCAAAGGATCTGATTCCATTATGTGATACATTTCATCTCGCCCACTGCCCGTCGGGTGTGAACTGAAAATCTATGAGGCATTTTATAGTTGTTTCAACCTATCTGAGTCTCATCAACAATGCGAATCCATTGACCGAACTCAGGATCGAATCCAAAACCCCATAGTTAGAAAGTAGTCGAATTGTTCAATTGATTTTTATTTAATCATAGAGCATTGACCGGTTCGCATCCAAAACCCCGAAGAAACAGCTTTCTTGATTGCCCTAGAAACGGCACAAACCCTAATGTTTTGCGGATTGCTTTTATTAACGATTTCCTATCGATCATACAGAGTAACATGCAACCAAATGCGTATCAGTATCGTCAATCTCTCCACCGTTCTTAGTTTAACAACGTCGTCCCAAATAGTGGTTCTTCGAGCTTACACTGGCACTTAATCCTCTGGAAAACCGAACTGGCCTAACTGGTGCCCATGATTGTCTGAATGGCATGCAATGTCGACCCGGTTCTTGTGTACACCAATTAGTGTTCACCTAGTCAATTAGGTTATTCACTGGAAAGGCGTGCCGTAATTAGATGTATATCGGGTGAACTTATCACCCATTACCCTCCAGTCCAATCAAATCGTTCAACCAGTAACGCATTCAGGACAAACGAAGGTCACGCAATGTTCTATGGGCTGTCTGCAATCAACAAACGGCCGAAAGTGTACACAGGGGCGCACAANCAGTTCAACGAAAGCAAGTGAGCCCAAATAATAAGTCTAACAAAGCACACTTGCGACGGGTTGATTTCGTCCAGTACAAACACAATTTACAATCCCTCTGGACCGTGCGATCAATTGCAGAATAATAAGATTCCTCGAAAGGCTTTTTCATTTTGATATCTTTGGAAAGTTGTGAGTGATGGTGATCTAAGGAGCATTATTTGTCATATACGTTTGATTGTTGCTCCCGAATTCCATCAACGTTTCCAAAGCCACTACCAATCGCACTTAAGAAGGTGTAGTAGCGTAATGCATTTGAATAAATGAGATTAGCTGTATTATACAGCGCTAACATTCTAAACATGTCTCTATTCTGTGATTTCACAAAAGGTAGGAATTCATATGAATTCAATAAAGACTTAAGTCTAGATGAAGACTCCAAATGTGTTCTCTGTACGAATGTCAACTACGCATTCTTGAAACAGAATTTCAAAGTTAACATTCGGTGCGAAATATGACAGAACTAACCATGTAGACCGTTTAGGAGGAAATATTGAATGCTCATTTGGATAATCTATACACAGTACACCGAGTGCCTTTCCAAGGCACACATTTACTTGCAGCACGCGTACAACCACTAGTGTCAATTTCGCTATCCATCCACTTCAAGTTCATGAGATGAGCTTAATAAATCCGGGGTAACAATATTTCATATGTCAAACCTTTGTCACTCAGGGTGTGAAACGAAGTGATAGAACAAACTTCTTTTATTCCGACGGAGAGCAAAGAATTGGCTGTTGATGATGATCTCAGGGTCTACTCTTCCCAATGACCCAAGCTTGAGGTGCTAAATTAACTTCCGTTGAAAATAAAATAGTCTACTAAAAGTAAAACGATGAGATT